CAATTTATTTTTCTGTTTAGCCAGTACTTTGCTCCCATTTGTTAGCAGTTCAAATTTCGGCTCAATGTACTCCTTTAAACATGAAAAAGCTACAACTTCTCCATGAGAATATTTACACTTCTCGTCATCAAATTTACAAGATGATTCTAAAAGATAGGGACATGGCAGCATCTCCTCATGTGTGGGATTTATAAACATTACTTTGACCTTAATAAATATCATTAAATTAGTTTAATTTAAATACTAATTATAAACTTATATATATACTTCAATATCATCCATACTGGAATAATTTTCACATGCTACAACAGAGCAAATAAGGGCATTGTGATAAATAACATCACCCCATTGATGTTTATGAGGAGCCTTACACTTCATTCCCTCAATTGCTTTTAATTCATCTTCAATATTTAAGATTTTACTGCTACTTGTTTCATTACTTTCTAGTAGCACTCCGTCCTTTTCCATTTCTGACTAAAATTATAAAACAACATTCAGGACGCTAAAAACGTCGTTAAATTCATAAAGTACCATAAATAAAGCATATTCGCAGTCAAAGGAAGTGCTAGTGTCACTCGAAGAGGATGTTGATGCAGTTAAGTTTTCAAGTTGTTGAAAACTTTCCTTTGTAAGTTGAATGAGTTGTTCTAAGTTGTTTTTAAGCGAAAACAAATCTTCTTTATCTTTTCCATCTTCAAACGTAGATATTGCCAAATTAACTTGGACCAACTTAACAAAGAGGAAAGAAATTACTTACAAATATCGACAATCACTTGATACGTACCTGTTTCTTATAAGTATTTAACGAATCTCTTAAAGACTGCTCTTCCATTCTTAGGACTAAACAAAATTAATATCACATCGTTTATTTTTAAAATTACTTATTTACAACCAATAAAATCTAATAGACTTTTATAATTGCCAAGAATAAATAAGCAAGACATAGGTTATGAAAAGTCTTCTTTTTCTTCGTTTATCTACATATTTCCCCAGTAGTGTCTCCTGTATGTCCGACCGTATTCAATTTAACCTACTATAAAAATACGTTAAAATAAACATTACAATAAACACAATCTAATCGCGAAGGAGACACTTCTTCGAAGAAAATTTGAATTTATTCTGAACAACTTTTTCTTAGCCTTTTTTTCTATGTACAACAGTATGCACAATTAAACCATAGATTAAAGAAATATAATACTGTTTAGTCCATAGATATAAACGTCGATGGTTTAGTCTATGTTTTATAGGCATAGACTATGAGCCATAGACATACATTGGAAAAATATGTTCTGTCATAGATTTTATATGATTTTATACGTTACAATTTGAGTTTTGAGGTATTACCCCCAATTTATTTCATATTTGTTTGTTACTTTTAAGGTACAATCAACATATATTATTATAGTATTTTGTTTTTGATTAAATAAATAAATATTAATGAGTAATACAAATGCCGAAAAGTAACAAAAAAAAATGTTAAATTAGTGTATCTGTACTTTATAATATACCTATTTTATTATTATTTTAGGAAAATTCGATTCTTTAATCAATTTAAATATTTTTATTGCATTTTGATGACGATTATTTTCATTCGCGTTTTTTCTTTCACCTGGAAGTAAATAAAAATTGATCGAAAATTGAACGTAAAATTCCCAAGCATTTTCTATTATTAGCGAAATTATATTTATGATAGTGACGCTTCCAGCAGAAAAATGCCAAACTTTTTCATAGAGTAGCATTTGATATAATTAAACTCATGTAAAAAAGTGTAAATAATTGTGCAACGACTGAACCTATTTCTTTTTTATTGATGCAATATTGTATAGTTGTGATATGTTAATGAGTTGTACAGTTATTGTTAAGTCATATTAATTAATTAAAGTAATCGGTTAAAAGGTGTTTTTTATTTCTCATGTTTTCTTTTTTTTATTTTAGGCATTATTGTTAGTGTAATAATTCATAAAAGAAGGTAAGTACATAAATTATGTATTTTTTCATATGCATTATTTGTAATCACGTATTTTATAAAAAAGAATAAAAATCATTCAAATTTAATGTCAATAAAATAACACAACTATATAAAGCCTTAAAGACCAAAGGGCGAAACAATTGTTGATTATCATATTGTTAAAAAAAACGTAACCCTTTAATAGCTTTGAATTTTTACATATATCAAGGGTTCAAAAAATAATATCAACGCTTACTCCTAGTTAACAATAAAATATTTGTATAATAATAACGTTTTNAAGTGGTACTTACAGGGACTTTTTACAATATTAGTGAGATCCAAATAATTTCGTAACTATTTTGCATTTTCTTAATGTTTTAATTTACGTAATTTTTTTTTAAATCTCGTAAGTAAATACTTATCTCTGTAAGGGTACTCGTTTACTTGGTAACGTTAAAAATTATTATCAATTAATTTTTTTTTAATAAAATCATGTTAGGAAGAGAACATAAAAATCAAAAACAACTACAGTTGCTTAATTTTTATTTGCTACAAATATTTTCTATAAATGAAAGACGTCAGTACCCTCTCTGTAAAACCAACATTTCTTTTGTAAAATTATCGCAACCGTTTTGATAAAATTTTACATTACTTTTTTATTAATTCGATCGTTTTTAAACGGAAGCCCTCAAAACATCAATTTATTTGTAAAATGATTTATTTTTATTATTCAAATTTAAATGCGATGGTATTTTTATGAAAAAAAATCAATTTGTCGCAATAGTATTACCGATATCAATGTTCAAAAAAAAAATGTTTTGTCACTTATTTGGATCTTAAATTTTATCAAAACGTTCAAAACAATTTACAGAAAAAGTTTCTTTTAACTACTTAAGTGTGGGGCTTATACCACATTGAAATGTTTATATTCGGTTCATACTTCATAAAAGAAATACTGTTTTTCTGTATTTGTTAAAATTTATTACAAAACTTAATTTTNTATGCAGTAAGCTAAGCGAAGAGGTAAGCAAGAGACATGTTAGACTATACTACAACTACTAAACGTGTTAGAACTACTGCTACACTACTACTACATACAAAAAAAAAACATATGCAATCAACAATTACTTGAAATAAAATGAACAAAAATAAGTCTGCAAAATAAAAACTATTTCAAATTAACTACAAAAAAAACATGCAAAATAAAAAACTAATTTGAATAAGCGAAGAGGTAAGCAAGAGACATGTTAGACTATACTACAACTACTAAACGTGTTAGAACTACTGCTACACTACTACTACATACAAAAAAAAAACATATGCAATCAACAATTACTTGAAATAAAATGAACAAAAATAAGTCTGCAAAATAAAAACTATTTCAAATTAACTACAAAAAAAACATGCAAAATAAAAAACTAATTTGAATAAAACAAACTTGATGAATTCTACTATATAGAGCATGCAAGATAGAGAACTATATCAACTATGGGGTCATTTTTGTCTTCTCCAACGTCGATCTGAAACAGATACGGTGGTAATAGATTAATAAAGAGCAATTAAAATTAATTATATCAAGTATTCTCACCTTAATTAACTGTAGATTGTAACATTCCAAAGTTTGCAGGTGTGAATAGCAAAGCAAACCAAATGCAGTGAAAATGCCAAAGAAGAAAACTTGCTCTTTTAGTGGAATTGAAGAAAATCTTCTCTTGTTCTCACTTATCTGTTGAAAATTAACTGCATAATGTTGCAAGGTGAAGATGAAAACAGCAAATCCAGAATACAGTCCAAGAAAGACAACACCAGTTATTGGTTGCTTCAATGTGATCAACCTGAACTTTAATTTTCTCTCATCTGTTGGACGATCTGCAGAAATAGGCAAAAAAATATTAAATAAAGAAGAGATTAAGTTAAGTAAAACATGAAATACAATAAAAACATGCACCAAAAGGCAAGTAAATAACTACATTATAAAATGGTTACGTGGACTTCAAGTATATTCTATGGTGCTCGAGTTTTATTCTTAAGCGTTGTAAACAATTTGATAACAGAATGTAAAATAATAATGTTGAGCACTAGAGAAGTTTTTATTACAATGGTGCAAACGGAAAAACTTATACATTAATAAGCATCGGTAACCAGTATCCATCATCTTATTTTAATGTAAAATTGTAATTTGGACACACATGCTTACCTTAAATATGTAGAAAATTTTTCCATGTGAAGACGAGGGTAAACGAAGTGCAGTAAGAACACATCACCGTACACGATCCATTTGGGGACACTCAGTAATATCCAAGGAAACTTCAATATTCTTTCAATAACAGGCTAATCTGTAAAACAGAACAAGAGAAAACGAATTAGCTGCAATATTAATGAACAATACATGAAAATTAAAACGCAATTTTAGAATACAATAACGAAACATTGAATCATGTAGAAGACGTAGGGTAAATGCGAAGCAAAATAGTAAGAATGAGCACTAAGCAAAGCGAAGAAATAAGCAAGAAATGTATTGCTTCTACTGTTTACTAATAAAAAAAATTTAAAATGAAATATGAATTCCAATACAATCAAATAAAAGAAAATTACAAAACACTTGATAAAAAAATTAACTAAAGTAAACAATCAAAAAAATAACATGCCAAATAAAAACTTCATAGAAAAAAAAGAAAAATTCTAACTGGGGTCTTCTTTCTTTTATCCACTGTCGATTTGAAACAGATAGGTTGGTAACAGATTAGCAATCGGAAATTAATATTTATCATGTAATGTAATCTCACCTTAATTAATTGCAGAATGTCACGTTCCAAAGTTGAAATATGTGAATAAATAAATAAATTTCCAAATGCAAGGTGAAAATGTCAACAGTATATCAAGTCCAGGAAAACGAATACCATTGCAGACAATTGGTTGATACAGCAAGGCCCAAATAAACCAATATTCTCTCATTCATCAGTCAATCTGCAGAAATAAACGTGAAAAATGAATTAATATGAAATATAAAGTAAAAGTTCATGTGAAAGCAAAAAATATTTGCTATGAATTTACATGCAGGCAAAACCAAATACAACAGACATAAAATCTACCAGTAATAAGCAAAATAAGCATCACTTATGTTCAAAAATTGAATATTATATACATAAGAAATTAGGTGTGCTGCCAGCAAAGGGCAAAGTAGTATTACATAGTATACGAATTTCTTATGCTGATGTGTACGATGTGTTGCATACCTATTTACTTATTATTATTTATGTAGAAAATTTTTCCATGTGAAGACGACAAGGGTAAACGAAGTGTAGTAAGAACACATCACCGTACACGATCCATTTGGGGACACTCAGTAATATCCAAGGAAACTTCAATATGCTTTCAATAACAGGCTAATCTGTAAAACAGAACATGAGAAAACGAATTAGCTGGAATATTAATGAACAATACATGAAAATTAAAACGCAATTTTCAGCTAACAAAACCAAGTAAAGCTGCTAATTATGAAATGGCGACGTAGCGTCAGTCAGCCTCATTCGTACATGATAATAACCTCGTTCTATCAGGGTACACTAGGACTGGCGATATGAATGGAGTTGTGAGATTTACATTCTCAGACCCCCATTCGTACCTTCATTCCTTCGTTCAACCCTATTCACACTTCTTACACAAAAACATGCAAAATAAAAAAATAATTCGAACAAAATGAATTAGTTATGCAAAATAAACAATTAATTCTAATAAAAAACCGTGCAAAATAGAGAAGTATTTTAACATTTTTTATTGTAGCAGATTAATAAAGAGGAATTGATATTCATTATATCAAATATTCTCACCTTAACGAACAGTAGACTGCCATGTTCCAATGTTTGCAGGTGTAAAAAGCAAACCAAATCCAGGAAGAATACCCTAGCAGAAAGCTTGTCCTTTCAGTGGAATTCAAATAACCTTCCTCTTGATCTCATTTATCTGTTGAAAATTTACTGCATGATGCTGACAAGTGAAGACGAAAACAGCAAATCAAGAATATAGTCCAAGAACGACAACATCATTGTAGACATTAGTTGTTTCGATACAATCAACTTGAATTTTCTCTCTCAGTTGTTGAACGATCTGCAGAAATAGACAAAAAAGATATTAATTACACTATTAATAAATAAATAAAAAATTATGACAATAATTATTCATGTCTGTTGATATAAACAAATTACAATATTTCACCAACAAATTGACCAATTTTCATCCACAAAAAGTACCTCAATTTTTAAACTTTTAGAAACCTTCATTTCGATGTGAAAAAAAAATTAAAAAGGCATTTTTGCAATAACTGATTNGAAATTACGTGTGCTGCCAGCAAAGGGCAAAGTAGTATTACATAGTATACGAATTTCTTATGCTGATGTGTGCGATGTGTTGCATACCTATTTACAAATAATTCCTTTAATTTTTCAAACAACATTAATTACTTTCTCCTGACTGATCAGTTATTCCTTACAGTAGTTAAAGAAGCTTATTTCCAATAATCACAAATTCAAACGACCTACCTTCTAATTCATGACTTTTCATGCCATTCACCATAAAAAGCCCTATTTTTACCATAAAATACACTGCTACTTTTGAAGTTCATTCCGATATTGTTCAAATGGTTGAGGTCAGTTCAGGTATTGCAGTACAACATTAGAAGGGGCTCAAATTAACATCAATGTTTTGCTATCTTCTATCACCTGCTAAAAATATCAAAATTTAATATCTTAATTCGAATTAATTACTTAAAAACTTGTTTAAATAAGTCAAATTTTATGATACTATTTCGATAACTGTGTGACTTTTTAGTAAAAATCAAAATCTATGGTAAAAATTTTTATTCAAATAACTAAAATATTTTACCATGGACATGTTTACTAATTCATTTGCCAGCTATCGTCGGCCACGAACTTAAACGAATCATGTCGGAAATGCTCGGAGTTTTTGGGTTTAGTTCATAGATCAGTTAAGTAATTTATCCGTTGTTTTAATTAGTTTTAATATGGTATTTAATCTATGTTCTACGGATTTATGTATATTTGTCTATGATGTATATTTAAAAACGAATGTTTGATGATATGAATATCTGATAACTCAATAATAATATTAAAATCTAAATTATAATAAACAGCAACTTCTGGACCAGTTTCATTTTCAAATAAGGAGACATTTGAATCATTATTTGAATATTAAAAATGGCGAACAGGCTTAAGCCCTGCATGAAACGTTTAATAAAACCCCAATTAATTTAAAGAAGCATAATTTAACGATGGTTTAACGTTTTCCTCGTCATGCCTACGTCGTTGACAAAAAGTAATCTAATCAGACTAACCTAACTCCCACTTAAATACTGTAATACCGTTGAAAACGTCAAAATTTGGTGTCATGTGTAAGTATCAGAATCTTTTCGTAACATGTGTAGTGAAAATAAATTAATAAAATATTGGTAAGATTTTCACAATGTTATTCCATCATTAGTCTTGTTTATGCCTAACAATTATTTACCATGAATTATTTTTAAAACGGAATGAATGCGTACTAAGATTTCGAAAACGTCATCCGAGGTATTTACATACATTTTTTTCTTTGTTGTGTAAGTGCATATGTTTGTATTTACATTTTAATCAATCTGTTATCAATTACTCCATATATTGTAATCAAAACATACTAAATTGTTTGTGATAAACATCTATACTGTGTTTTCTAATCCCCATTGCAGTGAATCATCTAAAAATTTTAAAATCTCCTACAATGGACAACACTTTAGCGAAAACTGCTTTACAACAGCATATCCAGAAGCAAAATCCTTGTATTATGGAGCCTCTCGATTCTTTAATCATGGACAATGCATCTGGTGATTCACTACTGCTAAAGAAAACAATTGCTTCCATGAAAACAGAAAATGAAAATAGACTTGAATCATTAAATATCAGCATTGAAGATGAACTTAATGATTCCTTAAGTTTTAAACTTTTGGATGAAAATGAACAATTAAAGGTGGCAAATTCGGAGCAATTTATTAAAAAACTAAGGATACCAGCAACTTTCAAAAAAGTTAAAGTAGTAAGCATTTTTGGGAACACAGGAGAAGGGAAATCCCACACTCTAAACGAAACATTTTTTAATTCAGAAAGGATATTTAGAGTATCTCCAGAACAATCATCATGCACTTTAGGGGTTTGGGCTGCTTTTGATCCAGAATTATCAATAATATGCTTAGATACAGAAGGTTTATTAGGGGTATCAAAAAAAGAAGACCAACGCACAAGATTGTTACTTAAAGTGTTAGCTGTTTCTGATGTCGTTATTTATAGAACAAGAGCTGAGCGTCTCCAAAGAGATATGTACACCTTTTTGGGAGGAGCTTCTAAAGCTTTTAAAGACCACTTTCAAAAAGCCCTACAGAGTGTGTGGAAAAAGGCTGATGTAGAATCTCCTCCTCATTCTTTAGGACCTAGTGTTATAATATTTCATGAAACAAGACACACAAATACTTTACAGTGCATTCCAAGTGTTTCGGAATCACCAGAAGATATATTACGTTCCAGATTTGCAGATTTAAATTTACCAATTGATGCATTTAGTTCTTTAAAATATATAGGGGTGCAGACCAAGGAAGGGCCGACATCTTTTAAAGAGATTAAGAATGCGGTGCAAATGGAATTAGAAAATACTACAGTTCGATCAGCAAGACCTCCAAAAATAATTTACCACACATTAAAGGTATTATATATGTTATAAGTAAATTCTTAAATAACATATTGATTAAAATCATGAACCATTAGTTAACCAACTGTACATGTCTCTGAAGTTGTAGTAATTTTTTGCAGGGTCTAAATCAAAAATTTAGGAGTCAACTTCCTAATAACACACCTCAGCTGCATTTAGATCAATACTTTACTTGCCCTGAAATATGCCAATCATGTAGCACCAGATGTACTTTGTCAATGGGTCATAAGGAAGAGAGGGAAGGACATTACAGTCCCAGTGGTTGTAGATTTCAGCATCAGTTTCAAAATTGTGTCTATCTTTGTAAGGTACTGGCATAATATTGTAATAGCAATATGTGATGTTAATTTTAATTCCTACCTCTTATTGAAGAGATGCTATCAAAATGGAATGAGGGTGACAGTTAAACCCAGTTATCAATCGATAACGGAAAATTCTTGGACCAGTTTTTTAACATATGTTTGGTCTGGTTACATAATTGAATGCAGAAATTGCGGCGAGATCTATCGAAGTCGTCAACATTGGTTTGGTAATAAAGATCCGCAAGAAGGTGCCGTAATCGCGGAAATTATCCATATGTGGCCTGGAGTAAGTCTGTGTTGCTGGTACTAAGATTTTTCACCATTTCAAATATCTTATTGCATCTACAACAAAAACAATATAATAAAATCAGAGAAAAATGTGGAAATTTTATATGTTATTTTCGAATTTGGGAAACTGCAGAAAGAGATGTAAATACAGTTTCCAAACAGATTAATTCTATCTAACATACACCACTATTAAAGTAGAATGTTTCGTTATTATTACAAATTGCAGTGAATGTATTACGTTGGTGATTTATTCAAGTTGAGTAAATAATTTTGTTTCAGGAAAGAAACTTCATACTGTCCCCGAACTCTGCCCAAAGAATATTGGACGGAATAAGTGTTCTTTCTGAGGTTGTTAAAAGTGTAGGATCTCAACCAACTAAAGCAGTTAGTTCATGGATGGCCAACCAAGTTGCACCTAGTTATTGGAGGCCCAATGAAGAAATAACCGTACGTTCATTATCGTATTTCTGCAATAATATTGTAACATGAAAAAAATAGTGAAATGATCATTGCATTTCAGTGTCAAATAAGTACTGCGATAAAATTGAAATTAAATATACATTTTCTAATAACATCAGGTACAGTGAAAATAAATTTATAGCCTACTGGAGGTTCCCCATGCCTCGCCACACGAGTCACACTACATATTTTTACTGAAAACATCCCTCTGCTTTTAGTCATATAGACAGTATCACGCTTAATATTTTAACGATGTTTTTGACTTTCCTGCACATGTACCTACTCGCAATAGTGCATACAACAACTAGAACTTTTCCTACAAAAATTTGACGAAAATACATTTATTCTTAGGGCTTGCATTTTAGTGTGAACCGTTGGATTTAATAAAATTATTTAATTATATATTGTGGCAGCAGTTACTAATTTTACTGTTAGTTTTTTGTATTTTGATTTTTTATGAAAACGTATTTTATATCATTTTTAGAAGGAGTTAATTAATTTTCTTTTTAGCACTGCCACAAGTGTAAGACCCCGTTTCAACAAAATGCAGCTAAGCACCACTGTAGGTCTTGTGGGGAAGGATTTTGTGAAGGGTGCTCTTCAAAATTGCAGCCTGTACCTTCGCGGGGCTGGTACACTGATGTGAGGGTTTGTGACGACTGTTATCAGGAAACTCCCCCCAGTCTATCTCATTGTGTTGACGAATCGGAAATTCGAGCCCGAAAATACGGCGAAGCGGTTGTTAATTCGATAACAGCAGTAAGTATTTAATTATTAACTGTGGATTTTGAAAGTATTTTTTTTAGTTTTTGATATTAATAATAATAATAATAGCTACGAAAACGGAATTCATATTCATTTAAGGAAAACTAAAAACCAAATAAATATTACAAAAACAGTAGTACTCTTATCATATTATTATCATTGAAATCTAATTGCAGTACGTAAATTTAAGTGTATGTTTAATGTTCAATGGCCTAAGGGGTCTTTGGTAAACTATGTAACGAATATTTTTTCAAATTTTTGTCCCACCTTCCCCTACTCACGGATTCTTAAGATATTTGTTAAACTCTCTCCCCAACTTACATAAGAAAGATTAATATTTCAAAAACAGCTTGTTCTGTTATCATAAAAGTATATCAAAGAAGATTAGGTATATTTGATTGAAGTTGTTAGCTCTTACCATAAAATTGATTTATGAAAGAAATTTTAACTTACATAAGTACGTTGTTCTTCCTCATTCCTTCCTCCAAGTAAGAGTTCATAAGGTTTCAATGAACCCCCTCTTTCCCTGCTATCTTTACTTAGGGTCGTCGAAAGAAACTCGCAAGTCTGTGATTCAAAAGTAACGGACCCGCCAAATAATGGAAATAGAACCGTAAGTTCCAAAGTTTTGGGTCCACTTAAAAATCTGGACCCGATGGGATTCCTCCCGTTGCTTGTTCCTCTTGATGGCCCTGTAATTTATTAACAACTCAGAATTTATTCAGTTTTATATACATGCACTTTCGCACTTTCTACAGTCCTAACCAAAATTTGAAAACAAGATTTTTCTTTTAAGAAAAAGGTTTTATTGTTTAATGAGACCAAAGTTTGTTTTAGTTAATATACTGAAATCTTTGGTTTTCAACATTATTTCAATAAAAGAAAACGTAAGAAATTAAGTGATGCTTTGTCATATTTTATTTAAAATGTTCTATATCTGATAAAACCCTTATTAAACNTATTTGTAATCACGTATTTATAGCATTCGAATTTTTTTTGGCCTTGTGGTATGTCCTTTGTACAGATTAGTTATTACTTCAGATGCCTTTTAATTTTTATTAATTTCAAAAATATGGAACTGTGTGTGCGGTTTTTTTCATTTTATGAGCATTTTAAAATAGTATAAAAACTTCTACAAGTATATTTAACAAAAATCTGAACAATTGCCATTTTTAACTATACTAAACTGATACTTGAGCTTTCTTAATTTCTGAAAAGCCAAACGAAGTTATTTTTTAACTTTTTGCCTGCCAATGGAGAAGTTTAATCATAATATGAAATGAAAACGCATATAAACTTCTCAGTTGCCAGGTAAAAGGGTCAAAAACTGACTTTTCAATTTTTTCCAAATGAAAACAAGCTTTACACTTACGTCGTTACGTCATTCTTTTTGAATATATAACATTTAGGTCTAGAACCTCCTTTAGTCTATATATTTAAAGCTATAGTAGCCACATTATATTTTAGTGTTGTTATATTCTTAAGAATTGCGTTTTAGCTGAAACAATTAAAGACAGTTTTATTAAATACCGTTTTTAAAGTTTTATTGTGTTTTTGTGCTATTAAATATTTAACCATTTTTCATCAGCCCTGTTTAAATCTTCATGCACATTTAAATTTTAAAGTGTAAAGCGTTTTTGTTCGTAATTTTTTACATTTTTACATTTAATAGTAGCACAAAATATAATTGCAATAACAATTTACCAAAAAATGTAAATTTACGAGGTATGAAATATTACCTTTTTTTATGTCAGGTGGCGTCAGTTTTGGATATTCCAAAAGGTATAATCAAGGATACAGCGAGACCATCTTATTGGATGCCTGATAATGAATGCGACAAATGTTGTTGTTGCGAAAATCCTTTTGGGCCAATTTTTCCTTTACATCATTGCAGGGAATGTGGAAAGGGAGTGTGTGACGATTGTTCCAATACCAGGAAACCTGTACCATACAGAGGTTGGAATACTCCCGTCAGGGTTTGCGACAATTGTATCAAGCAGAAGTAAATCCTGACTGGACACTGAAAAAAAAATTAAAGGCACAACTATAGCAGGGTCTCATGATAACAAACGAATGAGTTGTATAAATAATAGTTTTTTAATGCTCGGGAGTGAACCTATTGACGACCAACATTGACTTTTCTTATTAATTAATAAACGTAATAGTAAATCGGTTAACCGCTTTATCATATTTTGGTTAACTTTTTCTTCTATATTTTGTTACGCCAACTTTCAGTTTTATTCTTTAATACAAAACTTTATCTGCAGTGTTTATTTTTGTACATTTTCGTAAGTTTTTAGCGAACAAAAAAGTATCATAATTGGCTTTAGATAAAATCAACTGTGATAATAAAATTTATCAAGACCTAATAATAAAAAATTAAAATACATAAAAAGGGCTTTCATTCTGGCATGAAAATGCGAAATGCATAAAAATCATTATTAATTTTATCTACAATATGCCATCATGTTTTAGACTATTAGAGATACGAATACCCAAAGTTAGAGCCCTATAAATTATTATAAAGTCATTTCCTAAATCNCCCTCAATTGCTTTTAATTCATCTTCAATATTTAAGATTTTACTGCTACTTGTTTCATTACTTTCTAGTAGCACTCCGTCCTTTTCCATTTCTGACTAAAATTATAAAACAACATTCAGGACGCTAAAAACGTCGTTAAATTCATAAAGTACCATAAATAAAGCATATTCGCAGTCAAAGGAAGTGCTAGTGTCACTCGAAGAGGATGTTGATGCAGTTAAGTTTTCAAGTTGTTGAAAACTTTCCTTTGTAAGTTGAATGAGTTGTTCTAAGTTGTTTTTAAGCGAAAACAAATCTTCTTTATCTTTTCCATCTTCAAACGTAGATATTGCCAAATTAACTTGGACCAACTTAACAAAGAGGAAAGAAATTACTTACAAATATCGACAATCACTTGATACGTACCTGTTTCTTATAAGTATTTAACGAATCTCTTAAAGACTGCTCTTCCATTCTTAGGACTAAACAAAATTAATATCACATCGTTTATTTTTAAAATTACTTATTTACAACCAATAAAATCTAATAGACTTTTATAATTGCCAAGAATAAATAAGCAAGACATAGGTTATGAAAAGTCTTCTTTTTCTTCGTTTATCTACATATTTCCCCAGTAGTGTCTCCTGTATGTCCGACCGTATTCAATTTAACCTACTATAAAAATACGTTAAAATAAACATTACAATAAACACAATCTAATCGCGAAGGAGACACTTCTTCGAAGAAAATTTGAATTTATTCTGAACAACTTTTTCTTAGCCTTTTTTTCTATGTACAACAGTATGCACAATTAAACCATAGATTAAAGAAATATAATACTGTTTAGTCCATAGATATAAACGTCGATGGTTTAGTCTATGTTTTATAGGCATAGACTATGAGCCATAGACATACATTGGAAAAATATGTTCTGTCATAGATTTTATATGATTTTATACGTTACAATTTGAGTTTTGAGGTATTACCCCCAATTTATTTCATATTTGTTTGTTACTTTTAAGGTACAATCAACATATATTATTATAGTATTTTGTTTTTGATTAAATAAATAAATATTAATGAGTAATACAAATGCCGAAAAGTAACAAAAAAAAATGTTAAATTAGTGTATCTGTACTTTATAATATACCTATTTTATTATTATTTTAGGAAAATTCGATTCTTTAATCAATTTAAATATTTTTATTGCATTTTGATGACGATTATTTTCATTCGCGTTTTTTCTTTCACCTGGAAGTAAATAAAAATTGATCGAAAATTGAACGTAAAATTCCCAAGCATTTTCTATTATTAGCGAAATTATATTTATGATAGTGACGCTTCCAGCAGAAAAATGCCAAACTTTTTCATAGAGTAGCATTTGATATAATTAAACTCATGTAAAAAAGTGTAAATAATTGTGCAACGACTGAACCTATTTCTTTTTTATTGATGCAATATTGTATAGTTGTGATATGTTAATGAGTTGTACAGTTATTGTTAAGTCATATTAATTAATTAAAGTAATCGGTTAAAAGGTGTTTTTTATTTCTCATGTTTTCTTTTTTTTATTTTAGGCATTATTGTTAGTGTAATAATTCATAAAAGAAGGTAAGTACATAAATTATGTATTTTTTCATATGCATTATTTGTAATCACGTATTTTATAAAAAAGAATAAAAATCATTCAAATTTAATGTCAATAAAATAACACAACTATATAAAGCCTTAAAGACCAAAGGGCGAAACAATTGTTGATTATCATATTGTTAAAAAAAACGTAACCCTTTAATAGCTTTGAATTTTTACATATATCAAGGGTTCAAAAAATAATATCAACGCTTACTCCTAGTTAACAATAAAATATTTGTATAATAATAACGTTTTCGTCCTTCTTTAATAGTAATTTTTTTATTCTACTAGTACTAAAAATTAAATTTGCGTTAAAATGCGTAGTGCATTTGGATAATCGCCTATTGTATGATACTTTGCCCCCAAGCGAATTGTTATCGAAAAAAATATGGAAAACCCAACCGAACCTGATCGACGAAGACACATATAAACTATTATCGTAATTTTGGAAAAAATTGTGTATTGTCTCATTTTCTAATAAATAATAGTAATATTTAGTGATACCTACATTGCAATATTATTTAGTGTCACAACAATCATTACAATTATGAAAATTTTCCTACAATGTGGACCAGAAACAAATTCTGATTCTAATTTATAATAGTAAACAAATTCAGTATGAAACAAATTGTACAACTCAATCAATAAAAAAAGTACAATCCATAATTTATCAACGATTACGTACATAATCTTCTGAATTCCAATTAAAAATAAAAAAAAAGTAACGTAGTAACATTAATTATTAAGACAGGCGCGAATTCGGTTTGAATTCGAAAATTAATTGAGAATAACAAGAAGAATAACACTTTCAGCTTCAATCAAATTTGGTTATGTAGGTATCATCTGTTAGAAATAACATGGTGTGGTTGTTGGTTGAGGTCTCTTTGAATTTTAAAGAAAGTTAGCAAAGGGTAAGTTGAATGCTTGCTAGAATATACTGTTCCGGTTGAGGAAATTGCACGGGTGTGAAAGGGCTTATATGCTTTGGGGCGAGCTTCTTATTTATCAAAAGTAAGGAATTGCTTGTTCACCATGCGTTTAGAGGAATGTAAGCAATGGCCGAAATTTGACCTAATTCACCCAAAATTATTTAGAACAAGTTGTAAATATTAAAGCAGATGCTGTTATAACATCATGCCTTCCTAATTAAATTGGGCTGTAATAGCGATCTATTGCATATAATTTTTTTATTTTTATTGTTTTTCATTACGATTGTAAATAACTACTTCTCTCATTAATTACACGTGTTACATTTACAGGAAAATAAAATGGTTGAAGTTTACTAAAACCTTGTAATTTGTTAAATTCAATCAGATTTAAATATGGTTAAATTGCACAGGCATAGGCCCGTATATCTTATCGTTTGAAAATTTAACTATGGCAAAACTGTTTTGTCATGTAAACTAGACCATTTTTCAAATTTAAACATACGACGCTTCCGAAAACAAAATTTATATGTACTTAAATTAGTTGGGCTAATTGATCATTAATTATTTTCAAGTTTGGACGCATTTTACGTTTTATTAATATCTAATGAAGTTTGGTTTTGAAACAAAATTTTTGTTATGTATTTATAGAGGTAGTTTTTCTTTTTAAAATTTCTATTTTCTGTTTATGTAAATACCGATGATATATATTTCATAATTTATCATTTTATAATAATTACAATTACAAAGAATTGCTAAATTTGAAAATGATAATTGTTTGTATATACTTTTCATTTGAATGTCATAACGTTTACGAAATTAATTTGTTTGCTTACTATGCTTTAATTCGGTGCAAATATTTCTTGCAATTATGTTTATATTTTGTTTACTGCATGTCGATGTGTTATTATAACAATATGTTTTAGTTGTGTTTAAGATTTCTAGCTATACTTTAGTAAATATCTATGATAGTTACGTCAGCGTCTAAATGCTGTTGTCATAGTAACGGTGGCGCGTCATATCAATTTGCTACGGTTGTGATTATACGTCGTTGGCCGTTTGTACCAGATAAAACAGATCTACAACAAAGCTGAAGGTCGTTGATTAAGTCACATGATATGCATATAAAAATGTGCAAATATGTCAACTAGTGGTGAAAAACGTTTTTACAAAGTGCATTATGACTTATACGAATTTAATAAGAATATAATTTTTAATGGCTGATTAATAACAATTGAACGCTAATTTACTAATGTCGAGAAATTAAAAGTTGTCCATATGGTCTCAGTAACAGTCTCCCAAAAAGTTTATATACTTATGCCTCGATATTTAAGCAATTTACCGTTAAAGACTAATCACGGCACCTTAATTGAGTTCACTGTAAGCACATTTTATAATTAATTTCTATAACAAAAGTTGCATTACAGAAAATAATTTGTTGTTTGCTCGACCTTGAGTTTTGTTTTGTATGCATGTGTGTATGTGTTCTATGTCTAAATGTTTCTTGCTTTCCTGCTCTTCATTATTTCTGTTATCTGTTTACGTTAAGCAAATTATAAAACCACGAAATCGTATAGTTTGTTTTTAGTAAACCAAAATTTGTTAAGAATATTTTTTTTAGTATAAATGCTTTTGAATTTTACGTAAGACTAATTTAAAGCTTTCATTGGAAATTTTATAAATACTTGTTCTTTACTTTTGAAGATAATTAAGTAAAACGTTAAATATGAAATCAGTATCTCTCTTTTTAATTTTATTAGACCTTTAAGAATACAACTAGCTAGTGGTACATTTCTTTCTGTTTTAATCACACTTCGTGTTCTTATTACAAAAGATCGCGATTGGGTGAAATTAGACTAAAATCTATGAAAGCTGAAAAGTCATTCGTTGCACTGAATTAGTAACTATAGCAACCAATGGTAACCTTGGTTACACTACACGCTTTTAAGAATTTAAAATACTTTTTTTCTTTTGACCTTTCACATTTATATATTGAAAAATTATGATTTCCAACCAGAATTTGTTATTCTATTTTCTAAAGCTAGTTGTTTCGTAATGATAGTTTAAACCACAGAAGACTGAAAAAACTTTTCGATTATGTCAATATTTCGCTGATTTTGTATACGACTTTAAAAGGACTTGAATTAATTATATAATTAATGTTAATTAATGATTCGTTAAGAAAACTAGTGAAAAATTCTAACCCTAAAAGTCATATCATCTCAAATTTATAAATAAACGATATTTTGCTGATTTGCCGTTTTAATTTTGGATAGTAATGCTGTAGTGATTATGGCGTTAGGAAAAAAATGAAAAGAAGAAGTCGTTAACGGGATGTTTTTTGTTTATGTGTAGCTAAATGAAGATGTCACCAGAAAAATCAGGAATTTCCTTTCATCATCAACAGGCCACTACACCAAAAATGTCAACTCCTTACGATAGCTCGGCTTCAATAAAAGAAGCAGAGTCTCCCATTGCTCTCCTTCTTGCAGTAGCTCAAAGTCAAAATAGATCGTCCGACGACGATCTTACTAGTTTATCATGGTTACACGAACAAGACCTACTAAAAGGTTAGGCCTTATAAACTAATAGGAAAGTAAATAATCAATAAGAAATACTTTCGTTTGTTAATCAAACGTCATAATATAAAAAATGATGGTATTAAATAAATTCGGGGGTGGGGAATCGAAGGAGGTCTCCTCCACTACTGTACCATAAGAAGTTCGTGGCGGTCTCACCCTCATAAAAAGTTATAGCGGTTCAAAGTTAATAAATATGCCAATTTTTATACATTTCTAGGCATGTAAATATTTATATAGTCATTCTTAAACAATATTCAAAGGTAAAACTAATGACAAATACATAAAAATATTGAGAAAGTTATATAAAACATTATTTAAATATCTTTATCAATAGGGTAGGTTAGGTTATCGGGTTTTGTTCAGGTGACCACCCTCTTTCGATCCCCACCTCCACCCGCTCGAAAATATTTTTTTTATTGAATTTTATTTGAATTATAGTGTATGAAAATTGTCAAAATAATCAACTTTCAACCCCCATAACTTTTTATGGGGGTGAGACCGCAACGAATTTTTTATGGTACAGTGGTGGGGGAGACCTCCTCTTTCGATCCCATTTACAAAAATGATTTATATCCCATTTGCCCGAAAATAAATAAAATGAAAATATTTCTCATAAAAAAAAGACCAATAGTCTTATTTCTCTTATTCTTATGGATAGGAATGAACATAGTCAACCCCTCACCATCTACAAGTGTCAATTCAACCCCTGTTAAATATAGCGAAAGTAATTCGTCATCAAATCAAGAAACACCAACGAGTGACTACATCGAAGAGTCATCAATATCGGCTAGCGAATCGTCCAGTAGTTCATTTAACTCCCCAATTTCCAATCATTCACAAACTAGAAGCAAACATCCTGTCAATGCTCCTTACGATCCCATGATTCACGTAAACAGTAAACCACCCTATTCCTTTTCATCTCTAATTTTTATGGCCATCGAAGACTCTCATCAGAAAGCTTTGCCGGTTAAAGAAATCTACGCGTGGATATTGGATCATTTTCCTTATTTCCGAAATGCTCCTACAGGATGGAAAAACAGCGTCAGGCACAATCTTTCACTCAACAAATGCTTCCAGAAAGTCGAAAAGGCGCCAGTAAGTTGCAACAATTAAAAATAATCATTAAAACTATCAATATCTGTTTAATTCAATTTTGATAACTTTTTCTGGATTTTCGATACAATTAAAGTATAATAGACTTTCTAATCAATTCCAGAATCTCGGAAAAGGTTCTTTATGGACTGTCGATTCGCAATACCGGCCCAACTTGCTTCAAGCGTTGACACGATCTCCGTTTCATCCATGTTCAACCCTAGACCCTACCGTGTACTTTAACAATAATAACAATAGTAGTAACAATAACAATCACTATCGGGCAACTAACGAAAGAAACGATCAAAAACAATTACAAACTTTGTTTCCGTATTTGTCAAAAACTATCGGTTTCTCGTCCGAAAACAACGTAGCAGTTAAAAAGGAGCTTTCTGAAGAGCCACTGGATGCAGTAGATGCCGCGGCTGTGATGTTGAGTCTGAAAAATGGTCTCAGGCATCCGATCAAGACCGAAAACCAAGTGATCACCACATCTCCTAGCCAGGATCACACTTACAGTGTGATGGAAGACCTTACCATACTTAAAGACGAAGCTTTCGAAAGTGATGACGAAAGGTACGTAATTAACTCTATACAGTCTTTTTTGGTTGAATTATTGTCATTAATAAATAATTTTCTTTAAATTATGAGGGTGCGTTTTTAAGTTCGCGGAATGGGTAGGTAGGTCATTAGTTAGGGTACTTAATCGAGTCATTACGAATTAAACAACTCATTATTAGTATAAATACCAAGTTTTATCGTAATTTGATCAGTAGTCTTTGAATTATTGTCGACGAAACAAATAAATCCGGAAGAAATTGTGAGATATGGAAAAAATCGAGTACCGCGCAGTTATAAAGTTCCTTACCTAGCAAGGAAAATCAGTTCAAACTATTCTGGAAGAGATGTCATTCGTTTACGGGGACTCTTGCCCAAGTAAAACCATGGCTTACAAGTGGCATACCCTCTTTAAGCAAGGCAGGGACTCACTTGAAGACGACCTACGGCTAAGCAGGCCGATCAAAGTGAGCACTCCGAAAATCATTCAAAAAGTCGAAAAATTAATACTGGAAGATGTCCGGCTTAAGAAAAACCAGCTCGCAGAAATGGCAGGAGTATCAGATACAATCATTTTTAAAATTCTTCACGATTATCTTGGCATGACTAAAGTCAGCGCAAGATGGGTGTCGAGAATGCTCACTTCGAGTGTGAAGTATTCTCCTGCGTTTTTGGACCTCTGTAGTAATGATAAAGATGGAGTATTGACTCGAATTGTTACTGGGAAACTTGGGTTCATCATTATGAACCTGAGTCTAAACAGGACTGTATGCATTGACATAAAAAGGCACACCACAACCCAAAAAGTGTGAAGTGTTACAGTCGGCTGGGAAAATCATTGCGAAAGTCTTTTGGGACTCAGAAGAAATCCTGTTGATCGATAATAATGATAAAGGTGTCTCCATAACCGGAAAATACTAAGCTTCACTCCTAGAGCGGTTAAAGGAAACAGTCAAAGAGAAAAGAAAAGGAAAATTGACCAAAGGTGACCTCCTTCTGCACGACAAAGCGCCTGTTCACATGAGTCGTGTTGTGACGGCTGTCCTGCAGAAGGTAGCCTTCGAAATTTTGGCTCACCCACCCTACAGTCCTGACCTAGCTCCCAGCGATTATTACCTATTCCTAAACTTGAAAAAGTCTTCGTGGGAAGAAATTAAATTCGTACTTTTATTTCCACTTCTTACCCCCCTATTCCGCGAACTTAGAAACGCCCCCTCGTATAAAAGTTATAGCTAAATTAGGCGTAAAAAAATGTTTTCACTATACCTATATTTTTCTCTGATTCCACGGATGAAAGCGCAGTATCCTTTCTTCTCATAATTTTAGTTTTCGTATTTTCCTGCTTTTTCTTTTGCATTGAACAGTTTTTGAGATAATCGAAAGATCGAATATTTTGTCGGGAAATTCTGAGGAAATGTCTTCAATAAAGATAAGTCATAATTGTACCTACCATAACATAATATTATCTTGTGCTAAAAATGTTTTTCATTTCTGCAGTGTTTATTAATTTCTTGTTAGATATTACACGACGCGTTCTTGCCGAAAAATAGACTTTGAAGACGAGGAGGAAAGAAGAATAAAAGAGGGTGCGGAGACACTTCTTGATTTAGCTGGTGTCAATTTCGGTAAACGTTGCGCTAATCAAAATGACGATAGCGATTACCCGATTAAAAAACGTCGTCTTTCCAATTTTGAAAGTGAAAAAAATTACGAGAAACCCGCCCAGTTTAGACCTCGGCTTTTGCGAACAAAGAAAAAAGACAAAAAGAATGTAAATAATAATAACATAAATTCAAATAATAATAATTTTTCGCATACCGACGACGACTGGGCGAAATACCGTCGAGAATTAGAAGTGGGGCAGAGAAGATAATCTTCGATTAAGTTTTCGTCGAAGTTTTGTAGTAGTGAAATGAAAAATTACAAGTTAGAGTCTTTATATATATTTTATTGTTTGTTTATATTTATACGTGTAATTATATTTAAAATATAAGGATTGTTTTTTGTTATGTGTACATTGGATTTACAGGTTTTCTATTTTTCACTAGGAAATTTTTGTGGGCACGTTGTTGAACAAACAAATTGTTTTATCGTTCCAACTTTATAAAAAGAAAGAGTATTGCTTGAATTTTTCGCAATTTTTTACCTTTTTTATAAAACTAAAAGGTAACTTCCTAAATATAAAAAATCAATTTGTTTCATACTTCCGAAATTGTATTAGGTGGAGGAATAACTCCAAGACAAGACAAAGATTATTTGTAAACTTTTTAAAGTATATAAAAAATGATATGCGGAAAAAAGACAATCTGTGTTTAAAACTTATAATAAGTTCAACGTTTAAGAAATTTTTTGGAGGGCATTTTTAGTATCACAAACGATGTAGCGTATAAAATTGTGAAAACATGTTATCACAAAGGAAATAAATCAGTAGGAGGGCCAAATTGTATTGTGACTTAATCTTTTTTCTTTAACAAAAAAATGGAAAAAGATTTTACCGTTACATCTTAATAGGTTTCACCCTAAACGAAATTCTGTCTCCTCGACAAGCATTAAAATTTCATTGGGAAAGAAGAAATTCTTCGAAATTTGAGAGCATGATCATTTGTTACTCTCATATATTTTTCGATGATGAAAGCAAACCTAAAAAAACTCTAAATCTTCATTTAATACTTAATAGATTTAAGAACATCCCTTAAATAGGGTAAGCGTAAGATAAAACTGTAACGTGGAGGTAAACGGTATCTATGAACTCAAAAAATTGGTATATACACCTGGAGGGCTAAAAACTACCCCTACAAAATAAAGGAGCATACAAAAGCTCCAAAATTGTGTAGATTTCAATTTTTTTACGTGACTACATAGAAACTACAAAATTCGAGAGATTTGAAGTCTTTGGAGCTTTTATACAATCTACTAACTGTTGCCCGGGTTAAATCGATTACAATTTAATAATAGGTAATGAAAAAATCATTTTTTTTTTTTGAAAAAAAAAAAAATGGGTCACATTTACTTACATACAATTTTGGCCATCTTCCTTTGTTCGTCTATTACCATTTAAACAAAAATGGTGGGTTTTCCTATTTGTTTTGTCCATTGTCGATTGCTTCACTCAGGGATTTCGAATGAAAATGTGAAACTAACCTAACCAACTTTCTAAATTTTTCGTTTTCAATATCGACGGAATTTTTAGTACTTATAAAATTTATATATGTAGCCAAGTCCCTTTAAAACAATAACTGATATTGTTAGCTAGGAATTCAATTCAGAAATATAAAAAAGTGAATGAGAAATATTTTACAGACAGAAAATCGAAACGAAAATATTGAGCCCTTAAACAAAAATGTTTGTCAATTTTGTATTGTACTTACAGAGGGTAATATATTTACATTATCTATTTCTTTAACAACAATGATTGCGAAAACTCCACCATTTTAAGTCATTTATCAAAGAGTAATGTATACCTAGTTCAATTTTTATTTTGCTTAATAAAATATCGTTCGTTTAATACGTATAGGGTTAACGTTCAATTTTCATAAATGGATATTTGTTTTGTGTTTTTGTTTGTGGATTGCAAGCCCTTGAAGGAATAAAAGGCTGTCAATGATATTNTTTCATTTTGTGGCTGTTTTAAAGTGTCAAAAGTTCAACTCATTCGTACTGTAAGTGTGAAAGTAAACTTATCATAATTATTTATATAAATTAGTCGACTTCGATCACACGCGAACCTACACGATTAATTATATATAATAAAAAAAGAAATTTAATGTCTTCTTGTTTCGTTTGGCAGCGCTGCTTTCAATAATCAATTAATCAGTTAATTGATAAAAAAAGGGCTATATTTAATTTATTAAATAAAGCTTCGTGTGCATTATACTAAAGAATTTAAATTATATTTTAGAATAATTATCTATTTATTTATACTATTTCTGACGGTTACTTTAATGGGTTTTCTTGATATTCTGCTGTTTTATCGATATTATAATTTATTTTGTTTCTACATCAGTTATTAATTCCTAACCGAAAGCCAATGTTAATTCGGAATCAAGGAATTAATTGTAAAATGCGGTGTGCCAGTAGTACTTGAATCGAATTTAATCGAATATTGCCTACTGTTCCATTCGAATCAAATTTCTCTTTTTTTTTTTTAAGAATTCATTTTTTGTTTTGAATGTTCTTTATTAATCTTTCGGGATTAATAAAGTAAAATTGAACAGTCTTTTAGTTACTTTTAATTACAATGAACAATAAATTTAGCTGAGAGTTTGAGGGTAAAGAAAATAAAAAAAAAATTAATTATTCGATTCGATTCAAATTTTTCATAATTTCGAATACGCGCAGCCCTAATTGTAAATTAAGTTATCGAAGGGTACGCAGAGAGGAAATATCTATTTAATAAACTGCTTTAAAAAATTCAAGTACATAATATGCGAATAATAGCAGATGTGCTTTATTGTTGTTTACTTTTAACGACCAGTAGTGAAATTTACTTGTTTTCTTTATTCACACGAAGCAACTAAAGAAAATTGTAAATAGTTTAAGGAAAGATATAAATATATTAAATAAGTTTAAGCAATAAATATATCAAGTAGCGTTGATAAGCAAAGAATCGTTACATACAAGGGAACTATTTTTATTAAATGTGATTCTGTCAAGTTTTGAAAACTGTGGTGATAATCTTGTAAATTTCTTCTTAAAATTTAGCGTACTTGAAACATTGTTTCAATTACATACTATATTTTTTCTATAACTCGTGATATGCGTGTTCTTCCTATTGATAATAGTGTCTAAACACAATCATAACGTTTTATGTGAATGACTACTTCATAAAGGATCATTTTACGCTTTACAATTATAGTGGTTGCTTCCTTAACATTATTTAATTGATGAAACATTAAAATGCATTAAAAAAATATAGAACAAACAATTTAACATATAATATGTAACTTTTTGACCATTTAAATCAGTCAACAATAATGATTTCGCTAAGCTGTAAACAACTCAAATTTTTAAACGGGTTTATCTTTGGATATTGTAACTTAAGTAATTAATAGCTTCTCATATATAGCCGAAGTATTTGATAATCTACATTAATTAATAAATAAAGTATTATTGACATTTGAAGCAACTGCGGTGACTATTTTGTCTTCCAATATTTTCGCTGTTGAAGCTAAAACGATCTTATAGGAGAGCAACTAATGTAGTTTTAGTAAGAATTCTAAAATTCTTAATCTGAAGCAATACCAGTTATGCCTGATAAATAGGATAATACTCCTCCCCAATTCGCAAGTAAAACATTACATTTACCTTTGCCAAGCGAATGTGCCAAACTATGAAGTATAGATTGCAAATTCGAGAAATGTAAACTGTCTTCTTAATGAATCGGATAATTTCTAATCGATACTTTCAAAATGAGACATATTTTTTATTTCATTTGAATTGTCACATTATCAGAGTTGAACTGGCAATAAGAAATGTAATTTTACATTGTTTTAGTTTAAACTTATTGTGTAAAAATAAACGATTAGAAGTACTAACTGCATTTTTTTTTTAATAATAGGCAATTAAGAAGCATTTCAAATTTTAAGAGGTAAGTAACGCATATAAAAAAAATTAGCAAATAACAAGTTCTCTTATAAGTTATTAATTTAGATTTTGATGAAGAATGGCAATGAAAGTTAGATGAACAAGTTCCCCCTTTTTTATAATTGGCAAAAATTCTAAACTCTTAAAATAGTAAAGCTTTTTTGCTGTTAATCTGATTTTTAATATCTAATGTTAATTTTGTTTCACTGCTAATTTTTAACAGCTACACTAAATTAAATATTATAGATGTATCTCAGATAATTCGTTATTTCGGGAGTTACAGTGTCAAAAAAGACAATTTTAAAGAAAAATAATAAATAAAGAGACAAACTTTAATCATATCTAAGTTAGTGTGCCAAATTGATATGTATAAATTTTATATGCGCGTAAAAAATAATTCAATGCGAGAGATAAGAAAACAAAACAGCAAAATAATTCTCTGGATAAACAGTGCAAATTCAGATGTGCGCAGTGAACGAGTTTATACACAACATAACTAAAGTGACTTAAGTCCACTAGGCAACCAATATGTCTTTGTGGAATGCGAGTATTATATCCTTGTTCTCCTGACGAACTTAAGGATTTCGTTTCTCTTTTGCACCTGTCCGCTTCTTACTAATAAACCATGGAAGAAAACTGGAAGTAAGCTTGAATAACTTGGTTTAAAAACGCCAGCCCGAGACTCCTAAGCGTGAGTTGCGGCAGAAATTTCTGTGCCGGCGGATTAAAATGGTTTGTGGACTTCGTGAGTTCGCATCACGGGAAGAAACAATTTGTTTATGAGTAAAAAAAAATATAGCGTCGATGTTAATTTTCAACCAAAGTGACATGTGACCGATGCGTTTCACAAGCAACGACTGCTAAGTTTCGTTTCGTATTTGACAGCGGATATATTTATACACTTACACGCTTGATTTGAAAACAGTAAGGTTAGTTTGTTTTGTTTTTACTAACATATTTACATATGTACATATGTAGCAGACAAATAGACACATAATAAATTTGAGAATGTTTCTTTTTCTGCTAAAAGTGAGCTTTACTTTTGATTCACAAGAATAATATATAAAGCATTACAGTTTTTCTCAAGACTTTAAAAATAAACAAATTGAAAACAATTTTTTTAAATTATATATTAATTTTCCTGTCTTTGAATTGAAAAATCTTTCGTTTTCGTGAAATTTATATTTACGTGTTTTTAATAAAAATTTCAATAAAAAATCATTATTTTATGTATACCTATGCCAAAACACAAATTTTTTAATGAAACAATTATTGCCCTTGTCTTTAATTCGAATGAACACTGCACCACTAACAAATAAGACTAAATTTCTACTCTCACCCTATTAAAGAAAGCGTTTTTGGTTCCAGATTTGTTAATCGTCACGGTTAGAATAATCCAAAAAATGTTGGTCAGTTATAATTTAATTACTATTTTTACTTTAATTAATAACCAAAACCATCACTTAAATTCTTAGTTTACCAATAGTATTTTATGATCTGGATTTTTAATTCAAATCGAATTTTTGACGATACCTGTGTCCTTCTTGAACTTTTTTCTAAATGAAAATAACGTGTTTCAGAAGATTTTATATTTCTTTTCCAATTGTTAGTTGTAGTAGGCGTTAAATTGTGTGATTGCCAAACATGGAATCAATAAAATTCCGAGGATTTTTTATTTGATTAGTCACCGCTGATGATAGACTCTAAATGATCGAATAATTATAAAAGTGCGTAGAAGAGAATCAGAACACTATACAGAAAAACTAAATTTTAAGTATGAATACTGTGTTTTTAGTGTAAAAAAACAACGGTTTTTACTATCGTGCTATGAGAAAAATAGCATTTAAGTGTAAATAAACCATTACAGCCAAAACGTTTTCATGATTTATTTAGTTTGCATTCTATAAAATACGCTAACCTTAATAAAAAAAAATATTCGAAAGAAATTCCAGTTTATACAAAAAAAAGAACCTGCATATATGAAAAAATAAGAGATAAAATATATCAGATAGGTACTTTTCTCTTTTTTCACCGCATTAAACTCTGTATTACAATTACAAAGATATTTACCAATAACCTTTTTTCTTTGAAATTATAAATATCTTGTTCTTGTTTATATATCCAACAAAATTTATTTTATTTCATTTCTTTTTCATCTTCATAAGGTCATGAGTCCAAAGGCGGACTGGACACGCACCTCCACTTTTATCCTATCTTATCTATTTGAGCCAATCTACGCATTTCTCGAAAAGTAGAGCAAATCTTACTAGTAATTTAATCTAAGACTACTTTTCCTCCTTCCAACTGCTGTTTCTACGGTCTTTAGCCCTTCATGTCTAAGAAGGTGTGTGTCGTTTTCCCTGGTACATCATATCTTACACGCTTCTAACTTTTTTTCGCATCCTAGACTATGTACAAAATTGATTCCTTCTCATAACTACCATTTCTTCCATGCATTTTTTAGAATTTAAGTTATGGAACCAGAAGAGTCAAAACTTCATCTGTATCAACATCGCAACGACATATTAAAAAACCTTGAAAATGCATAGGCCATAACGTTACAGTCGTACGAGTGCATTTTATAAACAAAGGTGAATTATTCCTCGCAATTATGTCAGATCTTTTGACTTGTCCTAATAAGTGGTCGAATATAATTTAGCAATGAAATGTGTTCGGTGCACGCACATTGCCAATTACTAGTGTGCCATGGCGAGCACGCAACCTAGTCTACTTCAATTGGAAGTCATATTATTAAACTTAATGAGAACACGTTGAAGATGCAGGAGAATTATCCGAACAACGCCAACTTATTAACCGGATCTAGGTTACTGAATGGCTCGCGTAGGCGATTTTTCAAGTCGAACGTTCATTTGCTGTATGCGTTGTAAAATATATTAAATTTGTATTGTACTTAGTAAATTGTATAAACTGGCTTTTATCGGATATTAACTACGACTGATTTTAAAGAGAAAGAGGGTGAAGTTATTGATCTGAGTAGTATTTTTAATTTTTTTGATTCCGCCAACTCAAAACAACGCAAAAATCTTGTTTAGCGTTCCTACATATTATTTATGATAATTTAACGTAATTTCTTATTTTATTTTAGTTAAAAAAAAAGCAACTTATTAAAACACGAGAACAAAACTTGTTCCACTACCGTAGATGATAGGGGTTGACGTAAATTCCGCCCAAAAGCGCTAATCATATGTATAAGTTCCGTCCGATACCTTTAAGTCTACATGTCTAAGCGGCAAGGAAAGACGTGATTCCTTCTTTCATAGTGACTTTTCCTACCGTAACGTTACGACAAAAGACTAGCACAGCCAGAGTCGGATAGTTAGTATTCGACTAATTTGAAAGAAATATGTAATAAACAGTTTACAGTATTTAGGATATTTAAGTTTTCTGCTTAATGACAAGAACGCAATTTATGATGCTAATTTTTTGACAGTACACTTTAGTTTTAGTCCTATATGAATGAAAATTTTCAGGTAGATGCTTCCGATAGAGATCTCGGTTATATTTCTCTAAGACGTGAAGGTTTTTATGATTTTTTACGTGGCAGTTCACTTAGAAATGAAAAGGTATTAAAAAGAATAGAACAGAGGACTCTTTGGAAGTCAATAAGAAATAGGCGAGATAGGTTGACAGGACACCTCAGGCATGAAGGTCTGGTCAGAGACATTTTAGAGGCAGAAAGGGAGTTAGGAGGGGTAGAGGTAGACCTAGATTAGATTATTGTTCACAAATAGTTAAGGATGTGGGTTGTTCTAGTTTTAGAGAAACGCGAAAATTAGCTCAGGATAGGAAAGAGTGGAGGTGCGTGTCCAACCAGTCTTAGGACTGACGACCTTATGATGATGATGATGAGCAGTTCACTTAAACGTATAAAAAAAAACAATAGATGAAATTCAAGAAAAGTCGTTTGTAATCGATTAAAAAATTAATACTTATACATATATGTATCTAAAGATGCAAAAATAATGCTCAATCATATTATTCATAAAGAGGATTTAACCGGTACGANTAGAAAGATTTGGAGAATTCGATTAGTTTACGACAGTTTTTAATGAAGCAGATTATATTTTCAGTTATAGACGTAATTGGAAAAACGTCTTCCATACTTTCACTGTATTAATATCCAACCTTTAAACGATCATTGTACTTACAAAAAAAAGGCCCTTGTGAGTTTTCGCAGTAGGTATTATTTCACAGATAACTTATCAACAATCCAATTTACGTAATTGAAATTAACAAAAATTGGAAAATCGCAAATAGCCAGGCACTCAATACGTTTTATCACTAGTACATTGTTTAGATTAAAATTGTTCTAGATGTTTTATGGAGATAAAAATCTCACATTCCTCTACAGGAGCAAACAACGAAAAATTATAAGTACCTATCTAATTTAATATCTACACATGTTTTTCGGTTTTTTGTAATTTATGGTATTATCAGTAGTACTTTTAACTACTTACCACTTGCAAGTGGGTAACTGTCAATCTAATCAACAAATGTATGTAAAAAATTAAGAGCCATGAGTAACCAGCAAACAGCAGCTTGAATTCTTATAAAAAAAGTAGTGTGTAATCGATTAAAAAATTAATAATTATACATATATGTATCTAAAGATGCAAAAATAATGCTCAATCATATTATTCATAAAGAGGATTTAACCGGTACGAGTCGACTTTGGAATTCTTGAACTTGATTGATAGAGGCGCGCGGTAATTTGCTCTACGTAGTTTCGTAGCACTCAAGATTTTATCATGTCGCTCTATATGGCAAACGAACAATGAAATACTCTGAATGGGTTGAAGAGCCTTTTACAAAGGTATGTTGTTGTTATTGACATTGATAGGTCGGACAGACACGCCGAAGATCAAACGATTTTTTATGTCATTACATGGGATCATCCTATTTTCATTTAAATGCTCATTATGAAAATTAACTAGTTGATTTGAACGACGGAACCAAGATGGGATGATATAAATATGTAACAATAAATAAGTAAATGTAACAATAAGTACCATTATAAAGCATGAAGTTTATCCGGATACTCGGGAAAACTATTTCGGTTATTTGGTTATCGCGAGCTTTTTATTAAATACCACCCTCGCTAACGTTCCAAACCACATCAAGTTTCTTTCAAAAAGTCGTTTAAATACCAGATCAATTAAATTTTACCATAACTGGTGGATTTTCAACGAGAAGGGTGGACTAGAAACCATTGAAACGAGCCGATAATATTTACAAACACTACATATGTGCAAGGTGATAAAATCATACTAATAAGTTATCCTTAATCAATACCTGATATACTCACAAGCGACAGAAATTGTAACACTTCGGCCATACTGATATATTGAAAAGTTAAATCGAAATAACAAATAATTTAGCATACTAATCAATAAATACTACAAATTAGGACAAAAGTTGTTATACTTATTAAATTGTTAAGGCTGGTGGTAATTTTTTTCGTTGTTTCTGGTAAAATTATCCGGCACTGCTGAGTATCCGGCGTCATTATCCGGTACACGCCCTGATCCTAAAAAAAAATGCCGAAATCACCTGGTACCGGATCTAACTGACCCATCTCTAGTTTATAAATAGAAATTTGGTAGAACATTTCTTATCGCAAATTGTCTTACCGCAACATAAAATCATGTTTGATCAAAAGGAAGCACTTTTCAGGTAATTAGTTAAATGATATCCCAATAAATATCATCTATTTTTCAATTTAACATGCCTTATGATCCATTATGTTTTTTGGACACTGTAACGTCACGGAATTTTCATTTTGTGGCTGTTTTAAAGTGTCAAAAGTTCAACTCATTCGTACTGTAAGTGTGAAAGTAAACTTATCATAATTATTTATATAAATTAGTCGACTTCGATCACACGCGAACCTACACGATTAATTATATAT